CCAGGAGATCCCTGCAAGGACAGGTGCTTTTTGTTCAAGCCGCAGTAGCAGTCCCCAGAAAGTGCTCCGTGCTGGGGTCTGTGCTGATTTGTAAAGCAGCTGCAACAAGTAGGAAGAGTCTTTACCCACAGCAGATGCCCTACTATAGGATAACATAAACTATCTCATTACGTTTAGGTCAGAGAAGCATACAGTAATTGAAAACCCGTGGTTGGATTTTTAAACAGGAAGAATGAGCTAGAATTCTGCCTTTTTATCCACTTTCCCTGTGAGTAAGATTGAGCAATTCCCAATATCTTGTTTATAAATTAGTTAACTAACTGTTTTAATCTATTTTCTGATAGCCCCCAGTGATTTCTAGTCAAATACAGTCCTTGGATGAAATCCATAATGTCAATCACTTGAACATATTTAAGCAGAAATCTATATTATTGTGGTTGCTGCAAAAATCGTGGTAAGGCCAGGTCTCATTCTGAGCACGTTTGAGAAAACAATTCTCTGTCCCCTTCATGGCATCCTACTCTCCTGTTTTCCCTTTTAAACTAATCGTCTGATCAAAAGCCAGAGATATACCCTGAAAGTTTTAGATGGTTTTAGTATTCTATTCTCTAGAATGGACATGTGACTACAGACTAGGAAAAGTAAGTATATTAAGAGAATAGGCATTTCCTTTCCTTCTCAGTGTCTCAGGCAATAGATACTTGATACATACGTTTGCTAAATTGTATTGATTGCTTTCAGCTAACATTACGGGCAAATGATCAGAAGTATGGTCATCGGCCACAGGCTGTCTTAGATAACTCCTGCTTGAGGTGGATTCTGAGTTTAGAGCCCTGGCTGGGTGATCATAGGCAAATCCTCATCTGGGAAATGGGGAGGAGAATGTCTCCTCCACTAACTCGGTGAGGAACCCATCGCTGAAAATGATAAATGATAAATTCAAGTGAAAGTTCTTGGCGAATGATGAATTGCTTTCTAATGTAATATATTGATATCCCCTCAGTGGTGAAAAGGAAGGAAAGGAAACAAGGAAATGTGACGTCCATACATACTGACGATGAGAAAGGCAAAGGCCTAAGTGACATGTCATGGTTTTAGTTCAGGTCTCTAGTTAAATTCCTGATACAACCAGATGATTTATCTTACACTGCTAGCTGTGATTAATCAGGATCTATGGGTTGTTACAGTCTAACTTTTGAAAAAGCTTATGTTTAACATTCAAACCAGAAATTCTGGCAAGCATAGAAAAGTATTTAGAAATTAAAAATCCCAAACACATTACCATGATATGATGTTAATATTTTTCTACACTTTGATTCAGTCTCTTTATCCTACGCTTATATGAACACATAAATATATAGTTCTATTTAGTTAATATTTATATCATATCATTCAGTGTGTGTATCCTTTGTTTTTTTAATGGGCAAATGTGTGTGTGTGTGTGTGTTTATGTAGTTTGTAGTCTGGGTTTTGTTTCACATTATCAGGGAAAGATTTATTTTCAAGATTAGACATTTAATAACATGTTCTTCTATTTCTTTGTTATTCTAATGTTTTACTCGTACAAGTCCCACTACAATAGAGTTGATATCTTTTTGACACTTCAGAAAACTAATTTACAAACTTATTTTGAAATTTCTTTATATTTATACAACACAATATTCAAAATGTGACAAGTATTTACTCAGATGTCCCTATTGGTGTCCTTATAAAGCATAACGTAACTATATGCTGACTTACTGAATATTACTTTCACCATCCAAGATGTGACAGGGTTAGTAATAAATAGGTCTTCCTAATATTCTAAAAGAGTGTGAGGGACATATATCTATGGAATGTTTTGAGTTTCTACTATACCTCCAGATCACTTGGCCGGAAGAGATCATCAAAGGGAAAGGACAGAGTCTGAGTTTGCTATATTCAATGAGATGATTCATTGTAAATAGCTCCTTGGGAAGAGTCATTTGAAATAGGACCAAAAAAAAAAAGGATGATGTTAGGAGACGAACTATCCCTGATTTGATGGGAAACAATATCTCTATCTCTGTCTTTTTATGCAGTCTAATTCAAAATGCTATCTGAATTTAAAGGAGAATCATTATATGGAATAGTTTAATTATTTCCACTTTTTTACAATATAGGTGGATAATATGAGATACATGAGAGCATAGAAATTTATAGTTTAAAAGGGATGTGCATTTTGAGCTAAGAACAGGCCTGTCGAGCTACTCAAATGGTGATTGCCAGTCTTTAAATACAGAAACAAAATATAAACACACACACACACACACACACACACACATATCTCCCAAACCTTAAATGATATATTTATTTTTAAACTACCTGCAATATGAGCCAAAAGATACATTTTAAACTAATACTTGTGCTCTATTGTAACTGGCATTTCAGCTATTCCATCTGACAACTTTCTCTAAATTTTTGGTCACTGAAAATAAACCAATATAGAATCCGATTCCTGAGACAGAAGGTAAAAAAGAATGAGTAATTCAGGGTATAAAAAAAGCTGAGATATAAATTCATGTTGATTTTAGCTTAACAGAACACACACACACATGCACACACATACACACACACCCTGGTCCACGGTTTCTTTATTTAAAAATTTTGTAGAAAGACTGACACTTTTAGTATCTACAGTGAAGAATAAAATTGACTTACCAGGAAGATAAAATTAGAAAGCAAGGATGAGGGTAAGATTCATCCACGCAGTAATAACAAAGACTGAGGTTCTCCTGTGTGCTAAGACAATAATAATGGACCTTGTTTAGGAAAGGCTACTCACAGCAGTCTTCCTTGAGGAGATAACTTTTATTGAGTCTCAAAGGATGAGAAGAATCAAAGTACTCTCCCATTCTTTACCTGAGTTGCTTGTTTGTTTTCTTTATAGCATCTAACCACAGATTATGAATATTGTGATTATTTGTCTCCATTTTTTTTTCTTTCCCCATGTAAGAATGTAAGCTCTTGGCAGATAGGGACCATTGACCTGAGTATGGTGAGGATAGTAAAGGTGCAAGTGATCGAGTGACCCAAGACAAGGTAGAAGAGATAAAAATCATGCAGGGGTTGGCGACTCTAGGGATCTAAGTGGGGAGATCATGGTTTTCCAGACTAAGTAGACAGTACTGGGAACTGAGAGATGTAGACAGATTCGATATGATATTTGGAAGCTAAAAACCAAAAGAAGTTATTGATAAATTGGATGGGACAGATGAGAGAGAAAGGAAGACAAAAGTATCTTCAAGTGTTTTACCTTAAATAATTCAGCGGGTGATTATGCCTTCTTCTAAGGTGAATAAATTCAGAGGGAGAGACTGGTTTGGCAGTGGAATCAAGAGTTTCATTTTGAACATTTTAATTAAATATATCTGTGACTCAACCAAATGAAGATGTCAAAAATGCAGTTAGATATGTTAGCCTTGAGTGCCGAGTTAGAGAGACTTGACCTCACAGTTAATTAACTGTGAGATATTTATTAAGCTCCTACCATGTTTCCAAAAACAATAATTCACCTCCAACATTAAGGACCTTAAACATCAGAGGGATGAAAGAACGTTAGAGACCTGAAGAAAAAGTAGAAGATAAACTATGTGGAATGGATGTTCTATGGTCCTGGGAATAGATTATAGAGGGGGATGGGGGTTTTTGAAGGTAAGTAAAAGAAATACATGTCTTTTGTAAACTGATAGACTACTTTTACAGAGATGATGTTGAAGTCAAGAGTCTCTCCAAATCTGGGTATCAATGTAGGATTGGAGAAAAGGAAACAGCATATGAGGATATTATACCATGAGGATCTACCTGCTGGATGATTTCTGTTCTCATCTAGACTTAAAACTGGCCATTGTCCCTCCCTGACCTTCCCTCTGATTCTTCAACCAAATGGAACATGCCCTTTCTGGGCTACCTCACACTTTACAGGACAGATAGCACCAAAGACAGACTGTTCTTTCTGTGCAGAGTGGAGGGATCCAAAGTAGAGGTAAAATTGGGGCTCTTTCTGTCCCTCCCTTTTTCTTCCCGCAACAAGAGAGCCATCTTATATTTACAGATATGAAGAGCTGGTGTAAATGCGTTGCTCCATGAGTGTGGGGTACTGTTTTTAAACAGATGGTCAGTGACTCCTCACCTTATTCTGTTTCTTTGAACCAGAGGAGGAAAGTTAATCAAACGACAGGCAACAAATTTTGACCGGACAAAGCTCATGCTCTTTTATGTGGGGGATAATTAACCTATGAAAATCAGTGATGCTGGACAATATTAAGCAGGTAATTTAGGAAGACTCTAAAAGGGGATTGAACATTTATATGCATATAATTAACAAAGGCAGTTTTAGAATCTAGAATAACAGCCTGTACATTCCTAAGTCTTGATTTAGAGAGTAAGCACCTTAACTCCCAGAGAAGAGCCAAACCATGTTGCCCATACTCACTATAGAAAGTAAGCATCTTTTTTTGGGGATCGTGACCTGAGCCGAAGGCAGATGCTTAACGACTGAGCCACCCAGGCACCCAGAAAGTAAGCATCTTATATATTAAGCCTTATATGCAAAGCAGCCTTTATGAAGAATGACCAGAGATGGGATGTTCTGCTTATAAGAATATTCCTTCTAACCAGTGAATCCATATTACCATTTATTCACAAATTGCCCTCTCTCAAAAATGTGAAGTTGTTTTCACATAAACATCTATTAGCCTTTAACAGGCTGATGAAGGAAAGACTTACAAAATGGGGGGATCACAAACTAGAATGCTCAGCATCTTGAATAAAACAAAAAATTTTTTTTTCCTGGAAAGGCAGTTTATGCGGATATCTCTAAAAGAAACTAAAACTCTTACACAGGGATATCATTAAAAGCACAGACACATTGATGTGGAAAAGAAAAAAAAAAAACATTTAAAGGCTACGCAATTTCTTAAAAGCACATTTTCTTGGAAGCTATTTTGCTGTGTGGGGACAGGGCGTGTGGTTGTTCTCACTCTGCCTGACCATTTAAGCTGAGTCATTGAAGATGCTGTTGCCCCATCCAGCTGTTTTAGGACAATTAGCCATGTGACAGCCAGACGGGAGAGTAAGATGGCAACAGCCATTTCGGCGCAGACATATGTTTCTTCTTGGTTACAAAAAAGAAAGGGGGAGAAAAGGCCGAGTGAGTAGGGCTGGGGGAATTTATTAGGTTACCTCCCTTCAGAGTGGTTTGTCAGTTTGCCTGGAAACTGAATCATCTTCCATCAGACAAGAGTGTGACAGGCCCTGACTGTTTTAATATTGTTTAAAGGTTGACTAATTGAGTAGCCCAGGCAATTTGAATTTAAATTTAGCAGAAGTAATGATCCTTAATTTTTAAAGTTCCTAATGAATCACAAACTCCTATTAGCTTTAAAATGAGGGCTGCAGGTTAAGATATTTTAAAAACTGCTAAACAAATATTATTTCCTAAAAAGGAAAGCTAGCATTCAAATGTTATTGATTTTACTTTAAGGCATCTCCCAGGCAGATAATATATTGGTTCGGTTTGAGGAAAGATTCAAAAGCAGGTACCGTGAAGAACAAGAATGTGGTGGGTTCCTTTCTCCTTGCCATTCATTGTTCCAGCTTGCGGATCTCCACCCTGGTCCTGGATTATGGCTCCTCATCCTCGGAGTTTTAAGAATTTTAGGCTACCAAAGCAAAAGCTCTTTTCAAGTTTTCTCTCTAGCCCCACAAGCACTTTCTAATGGATGTGGAGAAGCAGCGGCCCATCCCATCTCACTACACGTCGACAAGGCAGTAAATAAATTCTCCACTCTGGGCCTCTGCCAAAAGCAGTCATCATTCTGCAGTCCCTGCTCTCCTGGCCAAGAAAGTCACCCAGAGCATTAGTCTCAGTCTCCAGATTATTGTACAGGGAGGGTGAAGAAAGTTGAAATAAGAAGCAAGTAACCTTGAGCCTGGAAAGTCATCCCTGAAGGGTGTGGAAGGAAGGTTAGAGAAAAGATAGAAACAATTCTCCAACTCTAGGGTCTGTTTGAGAGACTATGCACTTTAGTATCCTCAACACATTATCCCATAACCCCTTTGGATTGCTTTTCAGACTTTTAAAAATTATGCATTTTATTATTTGTCTTTATATGTTTCAGTTTACTCTGCATTTTAGAGATCTTACCATGACTACCATATCTCATTTATAAATTGTTTCTCAAGTCTTCTGTGAAGGTCTGATTTCCTCTTCCAGCCTGGACCTCTGATTCTTTGCTTAATTTTTTTTTGCCCCTGTGTATTTCCCTCAATATGTAAAGAATCCAGTCCTGCTTTCTGAGTCTGGGAGGAGCAGACCTGTAAAACGTTCGGTCTCAGTGTGTGAAGTGAATGGCATTTTTTTCCTCTATTCAAAGCAGCTTCAGCGATCCTACAATATGTAATACGGCTATAGCACTCCTAATGCATGGAGACATTAATGTCACTGATGGCCTCATCAGGCACAGAGCAGTCAAAATCCTCTGCCCTGGATGTTGCCTTATATGGCATGGGTAAAGGGCTTCTCTTGCCTCCGCCAGAGCCAAGTTTTATAGAGGGTGGATATGGATCATCAAAGGAGATTTTTTCAGTACAGTAAAGTGTGAATCTAATTGCAACCAGAGCCAAGGAATTATAGCAGGGAGGCAGTCTGAAGCAAGAAATGAAAGTGCCAGCCTGGGTCTGTTCATGTGAAGGGCTAGCCACGAGACCATTAGGATCAGGGAGCCCCAGGGCATCACAGCTGTACAGAAACACTCAGGTGATGCCCAAGGGCATTTAATTACATTATTCTAATTTGTATTATTAATGACGATATTAAAGCACAGGCAGACAGTTGGGTGGAAATTTTAGAAGAATCAAAGTTGGCATAAATATTCATTTCCCCCATCTTATCATTTTACAAAAACACATAGAACCAGCCATTCACTCAGACACAGGCCCGTATCCCAATCTTCATTAAACACAGATAGAGCAATATGCCCTCAGGAACAGTGCTCTGTAGATATTTGCATTTTGGCATCACCACTTTCTTCCCCGCAGAGCACTCGTTCTGCCAAATTGAGAATATTGCCCACGATGCTTGGTGTCTCTTAAAATGAAGCCTATCCATATAATCTGGGTGAAGGAGAAAGGAGAAGCGTACACCTGTTTTTTGCTATATCTTCCTTCGTGCTCAGGGAGAATCTTGATAGATACTAGAATGAATAAATTTTGAATAAATGCATAAGTGAACTATAAAGTCCTTTGTTGGAGGATTTTTTTTTTTCTTACCAATCTGCATAATTCTGAGATGGATAAATGTCAGTCAGGATACTCACCAAAAAGTAGAGCTCGGTAGAGCTCTTCCTTTTCAACCAGAATGACTGAATTGGACCATTGGTCATTAAATCAAAGGTCCAGAGAAACATCAAGTCAAAAAAAATTAATTTCTGAGATGTGATTGGTCAATAACATATTTTTTAATGAGGTATGGATAGAGAGCCTGAAGTTAAAACACGTATTTTATACTTTCATTTAAAAAAGGATATTTCGGGCGCCTGGGTGGCTCAGTTGTTGAGCGTCTGCCTTTGGCTCAGGTCATGATCCCAGGGTCCTGGGATCGAGCCCTGTATCGGGCTCCCTGCTCAGTGGGAAGCCTGCTTCTCCTTCCCCCACTCCCCTGCTTGTGCTCGCTCTCTCTTTTGCAAAAATTAATAAAATCTTTAAAAAAATAAAAATAAAAAAGGATATTTCTTGCAAAATTGGAGCAGGGGAGGAAAAGGGATGGGGGAGAAGCCTGTGGAGGGAGGGAAAGAGTTCTCATCTCACTGGCTGATTTTCATAATGAGACTGCTTCATGGTGCCACAACTGGAAAACAGTCTCTGCTTTATTTGAGGATAGAATACTTAATGTTTTCTAATGATCCAAATAAGAACTTAGTATTTATACTTTCCAAAAAAGAACTGCCATTACAAGATACCATGAAAATTACATTCACAATAGTAGTTTAGCTCATTCTTGATTTTTTGCCTAGAAACAAGTTTTAAAGTGACAAAAAGAGGCAGAAAGGAGGAATATTAGAGAGTTAAAACAAGGGTGTGCAAGAAGGGTAAAGTTGAAAAGGAAAAAGGAAGAAGGATTAAGAGCAAATCAGAGGGATGATCTGTTATTACTGTTTATAAAAGGGTAAGGCTGGAAAGGTATGGAAGGGATAGTGTGAAAGAGATAAAGGCTATTTCTGTTACAGAAACTGTAAGAAAAGTGAAGATGAATGTGAAAAAGAATGAGAAGATTAATGTGTGAGGACGGACAGGAGGGGGGGTGGAATACCAACAAAGTAATAATTCTGCAGTGCTTATCATGGACCAAACCCCATAGTCTCCATGGATACTTACTCACTTAATACTCAAAACAAGCCCATTCGAATGGTGATAGGTCTCAGGTGATAGATCATCCCGATTTTTTAGGTACGGAAACCAAGATGAGCAAAGTTAACCAACTTACCATCATCACAAATTGGAGGAAAGGCTAGGTTCCCAGCAGAGTCTGGTTTCGGAGGCTGTGACATGTACTACCGGAATTCTCACAATATATGGAAGAAGGGGACCCAGAGAAAAGGACAAAACAAAGACAGTCTGAGGACATGGTGGTGCTCAATGTTTGGTTTGGGTGGAAAAGGGTTTAAGGCCTGAAATGTGTGCCATCAGCCTTCAGCAGCCTTGCAGCAGAGAACAGAGGCTGGGTCTGTTATGGGAGTGAGGGAAATGGATAAATAATTGATTAGGCACAGCATGCTTTGTGTGTGAAGATCTATAGGGAGGAGAGTGGTCCAAGAGGCAGAGCCAGATGGCGAGCTGTAATGTGCCCATATTAATGGATGTCTTCATTAGATGACATACTCACAGGAGGCCAAGGCAAGTGCCTTCCAGCCATTGCCAGGGACAGACAAGGTCTGCAGACGAAGGTGACACTTACCTAGAAGGCACTGGAAGTGGGGCAGTTGGGTTGCAAGTGAGGCTGGAGAGACTTCCTCCAGTGCAAGAGAAAAAACTGATATTTCAGAAATCGTCTTTACTCTCTTTGTGAGTCCATCTCCAAATATGTGAAATAACAAGGCTGTCCTCTCTACCACTCCCATCGGCCTCCCTGATACAAATCTCTTGCTTTACTACATTTCTGTGAACACTGCTTTGCACAGTTTTCCCCAATTACAGCTTCTCCCTTCCTCCTCTCCTTGATTTCCGTCAAACACCCTTCTCGGGTCTTTTCCTGGACATTTACTCCCTGGCCACAACCTCTGGCTGCAACCAACTGTCTTTGCTAATATTATTGTACTCTGTCACACCTCCCAGTAGACTGGGCCTGTATTCATGGACAGTTAATAGTCAACTCAAAACTATTAAGCAAATGTTGAGGCTGAAACTTTTATATTACATGTGAATTAATATTGGTGACATTAAGCTTAAATACCCTTGAAGCGTTGGCTGAGCAGATGTTGAATGTTTCAAGGACTTTGGCTGTCCGGACTTTTATATATGCAGAGACACATACACACATATTACTCCTCCAGAAATTAAATATTTTGTCATGATTGGAATTCTGTATAGGCCAAACCAGAGCAAAATTGGAGTAGAATGATGTTTGATTTGCACAGCTATTATCAGCAACAAATAACGGTGTACTCAACTACTGCTCTAGATGACCCCACCCCCACCCACCCAGGGGGGAAAAAATGTCATTCAGGACACTGTGTCAGTGTTTTAGAATGTTGATGATAGCACATCATTTACTGAGCACCTACAAAGTAGAGTGCTGGTGCTGGGTGTCATGGAATTTAGAAAATTGTGTCAAGGAGCCTAGGCTATAGAAGAAAATGTGTTGTATCATACAAACTTTGGATCAGCAGCCTTCGTCTCCACCATAGAGGGATATTTCCGTCATAGGGGAGGTGTTAAAATACTTGCCTAAGCTGCAGTTCCTTTCTGATTCTTTTTCCAGCTCAGCCAGAGTTCCCTAGACTCAGATTATAGCCAACATATCCAGAGCTTTCCATTCGGAGGTGGTGTGGAGGTGAGCAGGATCTACACTTAGCTTCTTCAAAGGGGGAGACGT